TGCTGAAAAGGCAGCAATCAATGCACAGGTGGAAACGTTGTCTAGGAATACAATTGAAAGACGCCAGGATAACTACTACGTGCGTTTCCCATATAAGGATAATCACCCACCGTTGCCGGACAACAGACTGATCGCAATGAAACGTTTAGAAGGAGTGGTAAAAATGTTGAAAAAGAACTCAACTCTTTTCCATGATTATGATTCGACCTTCCGCACTCAGCTGGAAAAGGGCATAATTGAGGAAATCCCAAACGACAAACCAGGAGAAGGTCCGGTTGTACATTACATCCCTCACCAACCGGTTCTCACACCTCATAAAGAGACAACAAAGCTGAGGATCGTGTTCGATGCCTCATCTCACTATAAAAATTGTCCATCTCTGAACATCTTACACCAAGGACCTATAGTCCTTCCTGACCTTTACGCAATGTTAATCCGATTTCGGGTACTGCCTTACACGGCAACATCGGATGTAGAGAAGGCGTTTCTACAAGTACACCTTCACGAAATGGATAGGGATGCTACAAGAGTATTATGGATACGGAATATCGGTATGCCGATTGCAGACGACAATATAATCACGTACCGATTCACACGCGTAACTTTCGGCCTCAATGATTCCCCATTTCTTTTAGCGGGGACCATACACCATCATCTTGCACATTCGGTGGAAGATAGAACTCTTGCCCAAGAAATACGGGACAACTTGTACGTGGACAACCTTGTATTATCAGCGGATACAAAAAAGGAACTCATCAAGAAAGTGACAGCGTCACGTGATACCTTCGCAGACATGCACATGAACCTTCGCGAATTTCTTGCGAACGAGGGAAACCTGAACGATGTCATTCCAGAAGAGGCGTGTGCCAAAACAGATCAGCAAAAAGTCCTTGGTATACGATGGAACGCAACTTGCGACACGCTGCACATTGCGTGCAACTTTCCACCCACGGATACAATATCCAAAAGAATTGTAGCAAGACAACTCGCTTCCATATACGACCCACTAGGATGGTTGGTTAGGCAAAACACTTTCAACAGACCTTGTGGAAGCAGAAGTTCGAGTGGGACACACCCCTGCCTAAAAATTTGAAAGAGTCGTGGGAAAAAATACTCAAGAGGCCAGCGGATTCCACCGTACCATACCAAGGCGACTTCTTCAGACGACTGATTCAGTCCAGTTGGCAGTATTCGCCGATGCCAGCGATATCGCAATGGCTACGTGTGCATATGCAGTTGCTGGAAACGAATCCTCTTTGGTAATGGCCAAATCCAAATTGCCCTCCATAAAAACAGTTACGACAATGCCAAAGATGGAAGTGAACGCATTAACCATGGCGACTAGGTTAGCCTGGGCGGTATTCGAAGCGTTGAAGAAACAGTCACCAAATGCCCCACAAAGACTGAAGGAAATCTTTGTATTCTCTGACTCCCAAATCGCACTTAGTTGGTTATCGCGATCGTCCGCAAGATCAAATCCAGGAGTTCTGGTGTCGAATCGCCTCACAGAGATTCGACGAATTGTCCACGAGTTCACGCAGGAGAATGTTCCTGTGCGTTTCGCTTATGTGAACATGAAAGAAAACCCGGCTGACGCCGGAACACGAGGATTAACGCGCGAACAGCTACAGGACCATCCTGGTGGTTTGGCCCAAATTCTTACGCGGACCAACTACAAGTTGGCCCACTCATTTCTACAACTGCACTTAGGAGAACCAGAAGAGAACGGGCAGAAAGCCAACGTGAATACGTTCGCAACGATAGCGGATATCAAAGAAAGTGCCTGGGTAGATTTACAAAGCTTCAGTTCCCTAACGAAAGCGAAACGAGTGGCAGCAACAGCGCTGAAATTTATAAAGAAAGTCTTGCGTCCACTACCGGAAGAATCGCGTAAGAATATGCAGGAGTATCCCAGAACTGAAGGCTGTTTCTGAGAACGGTCCGGTACTGCAGGCCACAGACATACGAGCGGCACGTATGTCACTAATACGTCATCACCAGTCCATATACTTGAACAAGACCACAGGAAGTCCATGGAAAACTCACTAAGGCTTTTTCTGGGTCCAGATAGGATCTGGCGTTCAAGAGGACGTCTTGGGAACTCCACTCTAAATGACTCCACCAAGACTCCAATTTTTGTAGCTCCAAATACAGACTTGGCACGGCTGATTTTACACGAAGCCCATGGACCTTTCCATCAGGGGATAGAACACACGATTTCTACAGTTCGCCAGAATTATTGGATCCCAAAAGTACGGCAGGCAGTACGCAAACTAACCAGCAAATGTGTCAAATGCATACGCTTCAACGGCTTGCCCTATCTTACCCTGACTCAACGCGACCTACCGACAAGGAGAATGGTGCGTAGCCGTCCCCATTCCAACATATTGGACTTGACTTCTTTGACCTACCATATGACTCCGACACGCGTTGCTATGGTTGCATTTTTACTTGTACCGTGACACGTCTTATCCACTTGGAGATGGTATACAAGCATGAATACTGCGGGCTTTATCAACGCACTCCGGCGTTTCATAGCAAGAAGATGAGCCCCGAGTCAAATCACATGCGAACAATGCACCCGACGTTTACTACTCCTCCACGACCTTGTCGGATTGCTCGTTATACATCATAAGAAGCAATGGAGAAGTTCAGAGAGGTCAATCGCACAAAGGAAATTCGTGGAACAGCTATTTACCCCTCAGTGTCCCTTGGCAAAGGTGGGATTTTAATGAGCGGTGTCAAAAAAACCCCTGCAAACGTGCGAATTTGCACAGTCATTGCGGGGTTCCGGAACAAATTCCAAGCGAACAGTTACATACAATTTTGACGGAAGCGGAAGCATGCCTAAGTTCACGGCCATTAACCTACCAAGGTTCCACTCAGGATGACCTCACTTCAGTTAGACCCATAGACTTTCTACACGAGGATCTGAGCTTAACTCTACCGATAGATACACACCAGGCGTTTTCGCGAGAAGCGACAAAATATTTTGCTACTCCCAAGGTTCCGAGCTGCTCCAAACACGAAAGAGGTAGATTGGCGTCCCCAAAGCCATCAATGAACGGGGTCACAGCTGAAATTTTGGAAATCTGGCAATGAACAGTACCTCATTAAGCTTCTAGCAGAATCAAGCATAAAAAGGTATTAACGGAACAAAGACTATGGCTCAACCCTCCACGACTCGGAGATGGTCGTTGCTTAGTTTTTGGCGACCCGGTACTTCCACGGAGATGAACTGGGCGAGTGGGTCGATGCACAAAATACTAGAATTGGGCAGGTAGTGCACACTATACGGTGATAATATGAGGTTTATTCGCATCGTAGGATTCGCTCTGGCCGGTGAACTTACTAGTACCACTTGAAGTAAACTGGTAATGTCATGGAAGCCCATCATAGAGATGAATCCCAAACACATCAGCATGAAGAGGTCAGAGGGAGACACAAAGAATAGAAAACTCGTTAGGCAACTTGCGTCACGTCGCTGTGCCCGATGCTGCGGAAAACGTCGAGCGGAACAACGACTTCCGTTCGAAAACCAGAATCATATTTCCCAAATTGTTTTTATTTTTTTAGCATGCCTGCTGCTCATTCTTACTGATACAAGCACGAGCAGTAGCTATCAAACGAACGTGCAGTGAGATTACCACACGCGGTGTACTGATCGGCATGCCAAAATCCCGATAGAGGTATTGCTCATCAGCATTCTTGCAACCGATAGAGATATGTGCTCATACATCTTGCACTTTGTACACGACGCATTCAAACCCATTTTTAGCAAAATTGCCCCCACATGTTACCTTACACGATCATTTAGTGACTCTGAAGTGAGAAACTGGGGGTCAACTAGCGGTTATGGAGACCACTTGTCGGAGACAAGACTTCTGCGAACAGCTTGATTGTTGGTTATGTGCTGCAGCCCTCGTTAACCCAGAATGCCGACCGGTAGCTGCCATTACCACAATCGCCTTACTGTTATACACTTCTGTTGCTGTTTGCTATACTGCTGTATGTACCAATGACAGTCGGGAAGCCCATTTGGCTCATCCTTCCTGGACTGTCGCTACTCGTATTGAGGATCATTCGCGCATTGAAGCATATCGTTTGGATTCTCATCAGAAGCTTAGCTCGCTGCATCCCGGGAAATAGGGAACGATCACAACGAGAACGGCTGATCGCCGCTCTGGCAATAATACTGAGCGCGACAGTAACTCAGGTGCACACATGTCAACACGTTAACGTTCTCGAGCACCATCTAACAACATGTTCCAATAATGGCACCCACGAAACATGTAGAATCACACTTACTGAGCTGCTCAAAATCAATACATTTCACCGTGAAGCTTGCTTACGTCTTACCAAAAATACCACCTTGATAGCAAACATCAAGCTTCATTGGAAAGGGCTCTACCTGAGGTGCGCAAAAACCACCAAGTTCTTTACTAGAGCAACAAAACTGAAGCAGATCAGTAGTAAACGATGTCCATGGATGGGATCTTGCCAAGACCTCAAATGTGAAGGAGTCAATAGATCCTTCCTGGTACCAGAGCTAGAGCCAGGGAATCACTTCCCCGGTCGCACCGGGTGCATGGAGTCATGCGGAGGCCCTGGATGCGGCTGCGTTAATTACCACTTTTGACCATTACAATGACAGCTATCTCTTTACCACCAACTCCCTCACTGATTAGGTCGTTCATAACCGATGGAAGAGATATTGCTCTGTGGTACGACACTCTCAAACCCCACTTAGTATGTCCAACCGCAGGACATGCCCGAACACTGAACTGCTCCTTCTATGACGACTGTACCTGTAACGCGGCGGAGACCATTGTGAAATGCACGTGCTCGGATGTAGACATCACAGCAGAGTTTGGCAGAATCGCCAGCAAGCTCCCAATCACCACAGCAGCATGGGAAATGCAGAAAACGATCCAACTCGGTCGTAACAAAGATATCCAGCATGGTGTCAGCGGATTTTATGATCGAGTTCAACCAGACGATCGACACGTCGACTAAGGTTACATCTAGTCAAACATGCGATGTTGCAAATGGTGCCGTTGAAGGTTGTTACCACTGCTCAAAAGGAGCACATGCCACGGTCTCATGTAGTTCGCCCCGTGCCACCCAAGGCGAAACCTTGTGCGGTCACCATGCGTTCGTGGTCCCGTGTGGACCACACCTGTGGAATCGACCCTACGGTTCCATCTCGATTCAGCTCAGCAGTTTCTTAACTGTTTGATTCTGTGTCGACAAGGTCAAATATTTCACTTTGACCGGGATTTTGAAATACACCAATGATTTACATGAAACCGTACGAGTCATGCTAAAAGGAAACTCTACCCACTACCACGAATTCAAATTACCGGACTTGACCCACATAGCTACCGTAATATTCAGTTGGTACAAAACACTCCTATGTGGCCTGATAGGGGTGCTAGTAGCACTGTTTTTGTCCTACATGTTTCTACAAACCTTAGGACTACGATTATGCCGAATTTTCTTGCACGGCACTCTTAAAATCTTGTGCACTCCAGTGCATATTATGATATTTCTGGCAAAAAAAGATACAAAACCTTCCATTTCGACGCAAGACGCATGAAAAACATCTCTGACAACAGAACTGCTGACACATCAGCGCAATTCCTTTTAATGTACATATTCAATATTGTTACTATCAACATATGCTTTACTTTGATTAACATACCACCTACACATTTCCTATCGCGTCTTTGCAGACAACAACGCAACATGTCTACGCTGACGCCCGTGTCGAGATCGCAACTCCTCCTGAATCTTCGAATGGAGAAGCTGAAAAATCAACAGTTGCGGAAACAGAACAAGAGGCTCATGGAGGCCCTCGAACCTTTGCCGCAACCGCGAGAACTTTTTGACATGCTCGTACGCACATTCACTGAAGTCAGTCACACGTGACTGCTAAAGTTCTCAATCAGGACCATTCATACGTCAAACAGTTGGATGCAATCAACACATTGGACACTCAGATCGAAGCTCTCCGCCTACATTCCACTTAACTCGAGCCGAACTCGTCCTCTTACATAAACAATACGCTGGACTCACGGCTACAAAAAGGTTGACCCCGGAGCTTTGGGAAACATACCTTGCAGAAACTCATCTGGACGCTGAAGACCAACCGATTGTTCTTGATCCAAGCCTTCAAGAGCAGCTGATCCAGAACTATATGGAGTTCCTTGGGAACTATAGTGTAGCTCTGGCCATAGTTCGGCAGTCCATAGAGGAGGACAACGACTACGATCAATATCGTGACGATCTTCTGAGAACCCAGGAAGCCTGGTCATGCGAACGGAATTCATTCCAAGACGTAGTGATGTCCAGGCTCGACACCATCTATGGCATGCTCAGTGCCAAAACTCTTACAAAACAACACAAAAGATTTGAGTTGCGAGTAAGTAGAAAACAGTAGAGGCATGGCCTCAAAATTTTGCGTTCACCAAAAGACCAGCATTTGAGAAAGTAATAACCTCCCGAAAAGTTCTCCGGAATGTGCTACCGCCAAACGTGTGCTCTAGCGATGTTTGAGATGAGCTAGCGGTGCGCAACGCGGCTGCGAGCCGTGCTCAATTCAAACTTGCAACCACTTTCCTTCTATCCACTGAAGTCCACAGATTTCTGCTTTCCTATAAAACTGTACTTGCGTGTATAATTATGTTTTCTTTTCTTCTTCCAACTGAAATGAATGAATGCATTACGCAAAGAAGTGTTTAGCCAGCCGGAGGTGTATTGAGGTGTTATCTTTACTGACTTCGTGTTACGTATCTGCTTTTTGCGGGGCCAGGCGCAGTTTTCTTCCTAGAATCTGTTCCGTATTCCGTAGTTAGGTTGCGTCGCGTAGTTCACTTAAGTTGCAATCTCTAATTCATTTGGAAATTATTCTTGCAGGATATTCTCTCTTTCGCTTCTTCGGAAATGCCATACGCGGTATATCTTTGATGGGTTTCTAGGATTCTTCAGATATAGTAAGAAGGGCTGCCATCTATCATGATGCGCCGGGAGTCTCAAGATCTAGTTTATGTGACACCAGTCGATCGTATCTGACTTCCCTTGTACTATCCGGTTTTCCTTTTTCAGGTAAAAGTGTATGGTCCTCGTTTGGTTGGAGTTCTGTATGTTGCAACTATTTTTATGGCCATAACCTTAACTCTGGAATTTTCATTATTACTTCACTTTGTAGACTGTGACGTCATTAAGAGAGAATAAATTTTGCTTAAGTAAACTTTCGCTAGCGGAACTTCAGTATGAAATGTGTTTTCACATGCATTCCTCCTACTTATTGTGAACGAAGTGTAAACTTTTGATTGTCCTTCGGCAATGAGGGACTTCGAATCTCTCCCCCCCCTTCCCCCTCTACATTACTGAGGAGAGAGAGAGTTGTAACTGGATCCTCTTTAAGGGGGAAGTCGTGCTGGCACCGCCCTTTCGCGCATTCCCATGCTGTACCCTATCTGTGGAAACAACGTTAAATACGATGGCCTCCAAAAACGACGTCATGAATTAATGAAAAGGTAAAGAATGAAGCCTCCGCCGTTGATCAACCCCTTTGTGGGATGGCACGCATTCTACTTCCATTCAGAATCGCAGTGGCTTATTGAATGCGATGTGGCCTATACAATGACTTGCGGTGGCCAGCCGATGTACAAGTCAGTGTTTTATCCTCCCAGACGAATCTGGTACCAATTCCCCGAAGGATAGAAGGCTTGGTTGGCTTAGGCGAGAGTCGACTCGGGATTTGAACCCGGCATCGCGCGAGTGAGGTGACGCGCGCCACTTGTCACTACACCCACCTCCGCGCCAATTAATCGCGCCATGAACTAATAAAGAATGACATAATCAGCATTCCGGACCTTTCTATCGCAGAAGCACATCTACTTGCACGAGGAAAGCCCTTTCTAGAAGTTGCACCTTCCCAATAGCTCTGCGTGAAAGCGCTATGCATGGCGCATTGCAGAGGTGATGCCAATTGGCGCCCAATGAACTATTTCCTGATATCCTTGGCAAAAGCATACAAAAAACAAAGTCTTCAGACCGACTGGAGGTTCTATGGCGTCGCAGGGGTTGATTTTTTTATGTCGTGGGGCAGTGATCACGGAGTGATCAAAACGGGGGATTTTTCCGAATAGCAGGCTGGGAAAATATGAAAGTTTTGCTGGAAAGTAGAAAGCTTCGTGCTCCCGGCACAGTTCTTCTTTTTACGAATTGGCTCTCTATGAAGCTTGTTATGGCTGTTCAAAGCCATAGGACTTTGTGGATGACCCCCTAGAATCACGGGAGGATCACAACGCGGGAGGAAAATTTCTAGAAGGAATGTTTCTGGAAATCGTGTCAAACCCAAGCTAGTGCTCTACATTACTGCTTTCCCCTCTCCAAGCTCCACTCTCAAAGAAGTTATGGGTGTTCGAAGCGAGGGGTACTTTTCGAGTGTTTGGCTTGAAATTGGCTCCAGGTCGTAAAATAGCGCGCTCCAATACGCTTGTATTAGCGCGCTCGCCGGCGCGCTAATACAGCGCGACCGCGAACAATTAATATTCAAAAGCTAATCCATAATTCTAGTTCGTAGTACTTCTGGTGAGTTTTTTGTCGTTTGTTTTGTATTCTAGGTTTCTTTCTTGTTTTCTAGTAGTTTTCTAGGTTGCATTGTTGTAGTGCTTGGCACTATCGAACTATTCCTACCCCAGTCTGCCGAAATCAGGCCGATTTTTTAATCGATTTTTCTTAGAGGGGCAGAGGATGGAAATTTAGTTGCAGTGGTATTTCAACCTCCTGAACACGAATATCACTTCCGCTTCGCCCGAAACTGTTGATCGATTTTGGTGATTTAGGGTATTTTAGCGCCGCGCCACAGGCGCCGTCGGAGGCGATTTCCTTAACACGTTGACGACGAGCCATTTTTCCCATGACTTGCGCGTGGGACGGCACATTTTTCGCATTGAAACTTAGTAATTTCCAAATAAATGAATTACTACGATCAAAATGTACCGAGAAATGCAAGAGACGAGTATACCAATCTCGAATCTTTGACAAAAATTTAGCTCCTATTGCTCCAATATATTCGAATGGCCATTTTTTTTACCAACTTTCTTCTCTGGAGACAGAACTGACTGAAAATTGTCTCCCTCGGCGTTGGTTTGATGAATATCATAAAGAGAACAGTATCGCTTGCCCTCGACCCGAAAATGTTCGTTCTTGAACTAATTTTATGAAAAGTAAGTGAAACAATCGCGCAGATTTTGACTTATATAATAACTGTGGGAGCGACGGGTTGCCGTTTCACAAGACAAGCTTCTCTTTCGTCCACGCGATGACGCGAAATCCCGTCAACGCGGGTAAGGGACATGAGATTTTTGTTTAGGTGGTCGGTCACCTGTTAGGGGACAAGGTCCAGGAAATTTGATGATCTAGGACATTTTGGCACGGGCGCCAGGCAGTTTTGTGGCAAGCGGTTGTGATATTCGTGTAAATGGGGTCAAGCTACCCCACGAGACAAGTTTTCAGCGACTTTGGTGGACCTAACGTATTTTGGCGCCAGCGCCTGGGCGGGGCCAGGCAATTCCCGGAGGAACAGAGTGTATATTGTGTTTTCAGGGGCTCAAGCTACCCCACGAG